CTATATATGCCATATGTTTGTAGATTAATAGCTGATGAGATATCCAATCCATGCCTTTAGATCTAGTCGCTAGAGCTTGCTCTTGCCACGCCGGGTATTATTAGTTATGGTAAATGCTTTGCTTCCATATACTTTGAGATGCCCTAGGGCCAGTTTCTTTGGTTGAGATATAATCCCATTAATAAGAGAGACTATAGTAAAGAACTTCTTATATAGTGTACGCCATTAGTTTTTATAGTTTAGAGTATAATTATGTAGATACACCGCAGCTCGTGTAATTTCTAGCCAAAGGTCCTATGGTAGGTTGGCGTTAAGGCGCATTACGCGGGCTTTCTCCTTAATTATACCCCCTAAGCGCTCGGCTCCTCTATTCTAGGCCTATGTATTAGGTGCCGAGGGCTTAATTTTAATGCCTTTACTTATACACTAGCGTTCGACGTCTACCTTAACTATAAAGATCTCGTTATCTAACTTGATAACTTTAATAGTTATGCCAAATTATACTGTTAGTAGTAGTATAAGGTCGTTTAGAACTTTAATAATTAATCTAGTGGGCTGATTGTCTTTGAAGTAGAAGTCCCATATATGGCCTAAGTATTAATTAGTGACGAGTATCTGGCTATGCTCCTTGTTAAAGCTTTATGCCTCGTAGTCGTGGAAGTTAATCGTGATATGCTCTCTAGGTCCTTTACTATTTGGCCTGGCTTCTTGCCTAATACGCCGTTTCGACTTTACTCTGCCGTAGGCGTTACATTTAACTATGGGTACGCCCTTAATATATACCCCCTTAGCTTACTACACTAGGTGCTTAAGTGTGCTAGGTCCTAGATGGCCTAATTACTTATGCTATGTCTCCGTACTAGTAATAGCTGCCCTATACTTTATGCGTGAATTAATCTTATACATAATAAAGGTTGTACTACTACTTATAGTATATGATTGCCCTTGGTCTATAGGTCTATTTTCGAGTACCCATTAACTATATAGTTCTTAAAGCTCCGTAATCACTATATTATCTACTCGTTTGATTGCTGTGGGCTCTAACTTGGTATCCCACTATAGTCCTTGACGTCTAAGTAGGCGAAACGATACTAGGTTATAGAGTAGATTAGGGTAGTATGCCATATTATCTAGCCTAATTATGCTATTGCCGCGCGTACTCTTTAAACGTATATGGATGCTACCATATCCTTATATCTAAACTTGCATATTCCTAGCCCATATAAAGTCGCCTGGCCTTGGTGGCCGTAGTGCGAGAAATTAATTAACGTCGTTAAAGATATGGCAAGTTATGCCTAAGTCGAGGATCGCTAAGTTATAGAGTGGATACGTGTTTGGCTTAGAGAGAGTTGCTATATTAAAGCTTATATGGACCAACGTGACTTTATGGCCATCTAGTTACTCATTGCTTACCTCTATTAATTGGGTTGGCGTCGGCGTATGGGACTATTTAATATAAGGTATTTGTGTTCGTGATCTACTTTAACCTTAAATTAGCCCTTAAAACGCGCTATCATGCTTACGTTTAAGCTTAATTAGTTTACTAATAGCTGGTCTTGGTTTCCACTATATAGGTGCTAGTTCCTTATAAAGGTAAAAGTAGTCTTTGGCTGTATGGCTTTATTCACATGCTAGGCATGGGCCTATGGTGTTTAAAGGCTCATTATATGATAGCCAAGAGGTCCTATATGGATACGCTCTCTTTCGTTTTAAGGGACGTCCCTTGGATGGCGTGTGTTTAGCATGAGAGGCGTCCCTATTATTACCCTGAGTGGTTTTACTACTATTAGCGAGAAAGGCTCTATTAGTTATAAAGGCCGCTTTGTGCTTACTCTTCGCGCTGGGGTGGTTTACCATTATATGTTCTTGGAACTGTTTTATTATCTCCTTTCTGGTCATGCCGGTGGCGTATCTACTATAGTTTTGGAAGGCTATAGCCTATACGGGTGCCACTTTGTTAACGGCTACTAGAAAGTCCTTTGTGATCATATTTAGTTGCGTTACTTCGGCGACCCTATAGGTCTCTACTTCTGTAGCTGCCTAATCATATTTAGTAAGCTAGGTTTCCTATTAATTAACACTTCTTATTGCTTTTAGAGCTATGAGATATCTATCTCTAGCGTGCTCTTATTCGAATTGCTTATTAATGCTGGTAGTGAGCTTGAGACTTATAACCCATTGGTGGAGTGGCTGATTGGGTAGGCAGTATGTGTGCTAGAGGTATTTTGCCACTATTAAATGGATAAACGTAATAATATACTAGATGCTTGTCTACTCCTTCTTATATTCGTGTTAATCGCTCTTATACTATTTATAATAGATCTTATAGTACTTAAGGTCCTCCTTAAAGGCCTTCTATTTGGCTGTTAATAGCTTAGACTATCACACTAGTATCTTAATATTGGCTACTGGGGCGTAGTTTGCGATAACTAGTGCTTGGATAGCTACTAGTTATATGATTAGTGGAGTTACTAAATTAGGGTTAACCTTATCCTATAGATTATATGCGATGCAGCGCGCCTATAGCTGCGTATACTATTCTATAAAGTCGTTATAATTATGGAGCGTTATCTCTACGCGCTAAGGGGTCGGTTGGGCCGTTATGGTTAATTGGTATATCGGTTGAGGTAGTGAGACTCTTAATTGTTAGATTTACATAGTGATTTGATGGATGTTGGTGATCTAGAGATGAGATGAATTTTTTTTTTTATTATCATATACGTGTGTTCTACCAGCTTTTATTGGGTTTCTATTAACTATCCCTTACTTCGGGGCTAGGTGTCTAGTAAGGGTGGATGGCCAGCTATCCCTACTACCTACCTGGAGTACTGTCCGTACTAAGGCAACTTTGTAGGCCCTTATCTAATAATAGTAAGATACTTAGTACACGCCCTTATATCTAATATATTTATACTACCTATATGCGTTCCTATAGGTGCTTACTATAATCCTATATAGATGAGCACTACCACTATTCTAAGATGTTATGGTTGGTTTCCACCTATATTTACTATAGTGGATTTTCTACTATACCTTATCGCTCCTTGGCCTAGTTATAGGTCCTGTGGGCGTTAAACCTAGTGATCTTAACCTTATAACTATAGTTTAGGGCTTAGTGTTAGTCACTTCTATATACCTAGCATAGTTCCTATAGAACCCTAGAGGTAACCTCTATATCTATAGTTATTTCCTAGCTCTTAATGGGTAGCGCCTCCTTAAGGTGTCCTAATATTCCATTATTAGAGTCGTTTTCGTGTGGGGGCACTAGCGTACTAGGTCGGATAGCCACTATAGCTATATAGATGACCTTGGCTCGTTTACCTCCCACTTTCTTATTTAGATAATTGGCCTTAAAGTGCCCCTTATCTCTATAAGTTAGGCACGCCTTATCCCTAAAACGCTATTATTAGACATTATCCTATTTCTTCTAATATG